GGCAGATGGTTTACCACCAGGGAAGACATTGAGAAAGGAGCAGGGCAGCAACACCAAAGGATTTAACCTATGACTTGGCTTAATAAGACTTGCACACAACGCGTTAGAATTCTTCCATCTGGCAGCAAACAGACGCTTTAGAGGTAGGACAGAGACTAGTTGAGGAAAGCAAATTCATGCTGCCATAGTTTTCTGATTTTTGCTCTTTAACTCAGCAGTGGGGAAAAGCCCATAGTTTTGAGACTTTTACATTACATTTTCCAGCCTAATAATAGCAAAAAAAAAAAAAAAGTAAACCCTATCAGTATTGATTATTTACCACCTGCAGATCACAAGAACGTATCATTATTAACTGAGGGTGTGTATATATAGATATGTGTACTACACATCCATATGCACATATATACATACATAAGCACTGAATTCCCCATAAGTCAACATTTTTTATGATTTGGATATGACCAATAGCTCATACAAATCTGCTAGATGATAGCACAGTAATCCAGAAAAGACAAAAAGTGTGTTATTTGGATCGATGGCAAGGCCAGCAAACCCAGTGCTCTCTTAAAACATGGTTCATATCTAGAAAGAATAGAAACTGATTTCAGCTGCATTTGCCCCAGTTTCTACTCTTCCTCAATTTGCAGCCCCTGTTTACTTTCCAGTACAGGCATATTCATTCTTCAGTTCCCCTGATCTTTGGCTTTTGGGCATCAAAATTCTTGTATATCCAAGTCAGCTAATATGAGTACTGCTAGTGCCTCTCATAAAGTTGCTGTTCTCATTGTGACTGTCATTTTATTGCAACATTAATGACAAAAGGACAGTCAGGAAATGTTGTTGTAACATCACACTTTGTTAATATTGAGCTGGTATATATATACCACACATGGGTAAACAAAAAGATCTGGCTCTTTGCAAATAGAACTGGACATCATCTGCACTCAGCATGGGTCGAGCATTTATTTGGACAGGTAATCTTAGATTCAATAGCATGTCTGTATGTTGGATGTTGACACTGTGCTGCTTTACAAAATTTCATTCACTTATTTATGTTCTTATGCAATATACTTTTTCTGTATGAAATTCATAGGAAAATACATTAATTTACTCCAAATAATTATTTCTACCACAAAGGCCACATTTTAACAGGTGTGTGCTTTCAAGTCTCTTTCTATCAGTAGAAGTACAGATGCACAGGAAACACACAACTTCAGTATCTTTAATAGGGAACTGAAGTAGAACTCTAAAAATGGTGTTTTGAAATTCTTTATCTTATTTGTGTATAATGAACTTGTAGGGTTATTTCAAGGGGGAATGAATGACATTAATGGACAAACTTTCAAGGGGGAAAATTCTCTAACATTTCTGCGTTGGGGTTCACCATTAGCAATGGTGGTGGCATAGCTTTTTAGGATTGTTTTACATTTTTTATCCACCTTTATTATTTTTTTTATAAATAACTCAAGGCAGTGAACATACCTAATATTCCTTCCTCCTTCTGTTTTCCCGTGAGGTGAGTTGAGCTGAGAAAAAGTGACTGGCTCAAAGTCACCCAGATGGCTTTCATGTCTAAGGTGGGAAACTCACAGTTTCCTGCTTTCTAGCCTGCTGCTTTAACCACTAGACCAAACTGGCTCTCTTTCTTTCTTTACTCTTTTTACTTTCTTTTTTTACTCTACTCTAAGTAGGCCAATCTACACAACTCTATCTTGCAGGGTTCTAATGATGAAGCTTCCATAGAACATAAAAGTATGGGCAAAAAGATATTTGTACTACTCTTTCACCTTCCTGGCCCAGGAGCTATAGGATTATACCAAAGGATCTTTGGTACAATCAGTGCACTTTGGGATGTCTATAAATCAGTATGGGAGATTGTAGGGAGTCTGGGAAAGGAATGGAAGAGAATAAAGAGATCAAGAGATAGTGGGTGAGTCAGTTGACAGCTTATCTTGTAAACAGCAACTTAGCCCAGATGGAGAAGAATCTGGGAAGAAGCATTCAAAGAGATTTGGCCTTAATTAACTCAGTATAAACAAGGTTGGGAAATTCCTGTAGCAGTTTCCAACATTCTGTATTTATCCCAGACTAGCATTAAAATTACCTTAGTGAAATCTCTGTAGTTTTTGCTTCCTTGATCTTGCCCAGCTCTACTGGGCTTGACAATCAAGTTCTCATCCAGGCTTGGCATAGATGGCATCAAGGAGTTTAGGTTTTAAGTAGCTGTGATGTGGATTGGTAATAGCCATTACTCTATATGAGAGATTCTAAATTAGGCAAGATAGATTAGAGGATCTGAACTGATGTGCAGAGGCCAAGAATGCACCTCTTTCACCAGTCAGGCTCCCCTCCCTACCTTCCTCCTCCCCCAGGGCAAAGGAATCCATAGCATTCAAATCAGTCTCAGCCCTGTCAACGAACAATAATTTGTTCTTTTTCCGTAACATCTTTTCAACAAAATCTATCCATAATGGCAGACACTCTTAACATTAACTTCTGAATCCATTGCTCTGTTAGAATTATTTCCTACCAGTTCGTTTCTGAGCCGGGATCAAAGAGAGTTGCATGAAATTAAGTTCTTTATTCTTTACCCAAGAGCAAAAGCAATAACAGCAAGCTGACTCCCTCCTTTGGCACAATATATACATTTCATTCAAACTTGAAGAAGGAAACAGGGTACAGAAATCCTTAATGAAAACCTAAATGCCTCAGTACTAAATATAAGTATATATATATATGTGTGTGTGTGTGTGTAAATACTAAATATGAAATATATGTGTATGTAATTATATAAAATCTTCTATCAACTCACAAATATCCTTCAATACATCCAATGTTAAATACACCAAACACTAATACTCCATTCTGTATTAGTAAGTCAAATTTAAGTGTCCTTCTCCTTCATCATTACACAAAGCACTCCTTTCTCTTAGTTTCATCTATTTTTCTTGCATTCAGTTCATTCATTAATTCATCTCCTTTATCATTTGCTCATTATATTTTCAATTGTCCCTATGCCAAGGCTATCACTGGATGGGCCCATAAGTATTGACCTCTGCTGCCCAACACATTGAGGCATTCATATAATGCAGTAAGAGAAGGAAAGAGTAAACTAAGTTACCAGCTTTAGTCATACTTGTGTCACATGTACTATGTACTGCTAATGGTAAGTACAGCTCAGTTCTGACACATCTTGGCCACAATTATAACCAAGCACATATTCTGTGCAAACTAACTTCTCTAATCTACAGACTACCTTGTAGGACTAACATACAGTTGCCTGTATCCCACCAAAGCAGATACTAGCAGTTTACTGGCACGCTCAAAGTAAAATATAATAAAAGCAATGATAATTAAATATTGATCATGTTATACATCATCCTTTTAGATTCAAAGAGGCTATATACTTAGCTAATTTGTCTTCTATTTTCCTTTTATTCTAGGTTTAGCTGTCTTGCTGTTCCTTCACTGCAGTAAGTCAAAGCAATCATACCATCTTATTTCCTAATAAAACATGAGAAAACAGGACAGATTAAAGCTCAATTTATTGGGCTCTAATAAAATATTTCATAGAGGAATCAGCAGTGGAAAGAGCATGAAGACTGCTGATACCTTTCATGGGCCCACTGTTTGATACCCCAAGCAGCATGAGGAGTTAGATCTAGACATTCCCCAACCACTGCAGCAACATGAGCAGGACTCATTGACAAGTGACACTTTACTCAGGACTCCCTCAAACTTGGAGGCAGGTGTATAAGAGGAAAGGTAGACAGGGGAAGGCCCAACAGAAGCTGTTTCTAAAATCAAAGAAATAATAAGCAACAAAGAACACATTCTGGCAGATGGAACTATCTCTTCAGGAACATATTCTGAACAAAGAACTTTGCATAGTTCAACTTCATTAAGAAGTAATTTATTGGAAGTTCTGCTATTCCGCCATTACCTATTTGTGTTTCTCCATGGTGGCATCCCTCATGGGAGCAGCCAATCTTGATATATTTTAGACACTTGCTAAAGACCCATCTTTTTGTCAGCTAGATCTTTCTTTATGAGTAGTATATATAAATGAATATGTGCATTTTAACAAATGCTTTGGATAAGTTTATTAGTCTTAAAATATGTAAGTGCTTTATACCATTATATTTTGTTGTACTGTTATTTAATGATGTTGTTATTCAATCAACACACCAAAATGTTCTTTATACAGTGGAAGTGATATCAAAAGTAAATAAATAAATAGGACCCTGATGATGCTGTACCCCATGCCGGTAAATAACCTCACCCAGTGGCTTCATGTTGTGTCTTTTATTCAAACTGGCCTAAAAACTTAACCGTACCTCTTTTAAGAACTACTCACAATAAAACAGATGCTGATCTTATTCTCCCCCTTCTAGCAGATATTTCAGAATGGAACTCCAGGAGCTCCATTGTCAGAGTCTGCACACTCATTCCCAAAGTTCAGTAAATCCGCTGGAGTCTAAATAGTTCCATCA